AGATCTCAAGCCATCCCACTTTTCTCCCTGGATGTGAATTTCAGCGTCATTCCAAAATTCTCCTCTACCCCATAGCTACATCCTCATTGGCCGTCAAAGTACTTAATCTTCATTGCAATCGAAGAGCTGGAGACTTTGCAGCTACTGGGAAATTCGCTACCATTTTTGCCAGATAGGTTAAAGTCACCAACTATGTACAGCTTCTCTGTTCCCTGAACTAAGACATCTAGTGCATCAATCAGTGCCCAGTGTTCGATGACCTCAGCCCCGGGACACCGGTAGACGCACGACATCGTAATCTGGTTGTCCGGCAACAGCAAAGTTACGGCAGATAGTTGAACACTGTGCAGGTTCACCGAACCTTCGCTAACTATGTGTACAATGTCCTTCCTTATGAGTAAGGCCACCTCTCCCCCTCGTGCTGGAGGTCGATCCTGCCTATGGATGGCGAAGCTGTCTAACACTAAACCTGGTGCCCTATCCTGCTCCTTGAGCCATGTTTCCGATACAGCTCTTACAGCTGCATTTAGGTTATATACTGCTGCAAAGAGTTCCATCTACTTATTTCTAATACTGCCACTGTTGGTTACAAGCAACCAACCGCTCCCTGTGGATGGATTATGGTGTTCATTATTCACTCTATCTTGGGCCTCGGGCACCGGAGTGAGTAGCAATTTTTTGACAAATTGCAACCTTCATCCTCCTTACTTTCCCATAGAAACGACGATTTAAAGTCTGCAGGGGTTTCTATCGGGGTCGAGGTTCTCTTCAGGGGAGTGTCTGCTGCTACCCCGGCTCCATGGATGACAAGGTTGTTTTTGGCTGTCTCTTTGATGAGACAGCTTTGCTACTCCTCGTCCTCCATGACATCCTCAATCACCACTATTGGCGACACCTTATTTACGCCGGTCGTTAAAGAACTGTTTCCCCCATTCACCCCGAAATGGCTCGGCAGGTGACTGTGCATTCGAGGTGCTCCAAGACCCTGCCTTATAAGACCCCAGGGCACATCCGGGGTTATTTTGTATCTACCCCGGGTTACGCGGAATATTCTCCGTGAGTTTGCCAGTAGTTGATTTCCACTGCCTTGTTTGGTAACTTCCACCAAAAGTGGTCCTAGCTGCTCGGGGTTCACCATTGTTTCTCCCCCGCCATACTCCCACTCCATAGACCCTCCTAAGTTTACATCGTCCCATGCCAGCTATCCTTAGGATATCTAGCACCCTGTGCCAATCCATGTCAAGACGCGCTTTTGTCTCTTTTACCAGCAGCTTTTCGTTGTTGAGAATGAAAACTGTTTTGTGAACCCCAGTTTGGTCACCATCGTTTGCTTTCAATGACCTAAGTCGGTCACTGATCTCCTTTATTTGATCTTCTGAGTTATGGAGGCTGTTTTTCTTGACCCCATTAGGTTTACTCGTGCCTTTGCCAGTAGTTTCAATTTTAGTGGTTTTGGCAATGGGCGTCCTGACTACAAGCGGTACAGCAAAATCGATTGCTGTCTTAGCTTCGCTAGTCACCTTGCAACCCCGGATGGTGCTGCCAAACTTGTCTTTCGCAGCACCCACGTACGTTTTCGGAGGATTCAGTTGCTTGCTCTGTTTGGTGGAGCTAGTAACGGACAATTTCTCTGGAGGTATCCCCTTGGCAACGGTCTTATGCACTGCTCTTTTTACTATGTTTAGGCACCCACTGCAACCCTAGATCATTGCAGTACAGAGCGTATCGTTCTGGTGTTATCTCAGAGCAATTTACATGAGCACAACTCCCATAAACATCACATTCTATGCCTTTCACTACCTGCTTTCCACGTTGCTTACTCAAGCATGGGAAGACGGCTTTCGGGATGTTACTGTCGATAGCAACGTTTTGAGCGAGAGAACGTGGACCAAAAATTACCTCAAAAACGTGAAAAATCTGAAATAATTCAAATTTCGTGTAAAGAAAAATTTGAAACGGTTAAAATCACTTTGAAAAAAGTTTACACCGGAAAACAATGCAAAAACGGTAAAATCACCCTGATAGAGGTATAGTACAAAGTGAAGCCACAATACAGCTGGTTTCACATAATAAAACCTTCAAAAATTCACGGTTTAACCAGTCAAGATTCACGCAACCAGTCCGAACTTACCGCCAATGTTCAGTGTTCTTCCGTTAGAGGCAGCAGGAACGGAATACATTCAGAACTGATCTGCGTTCCGGATTTCGCGGAGGACGCTGTTGCGCTTCCTTTCGAAGATATTTTCATTTAGCTCATCCACCACATCGGCTGAAAGGGAGTTCCATAGGTTGGTTACCCTGCGCGATAGTCAATAACGAAGTGGTAATCCTATTAACGAAAGCTTCAGCAGCGTAAGTCTGTGTCCACGAGTCCTGTTCTACCCGCGCAGAGGGGACTGCAGTGGGAAAAATACTACATATACGAATAATAATGAAATAAACGGAACATGGAACGGACACAGAAGGATTGTTCAGCTAGTTTATTGGTCCTGTTCTTCAGATGTGTGGCTCCGGTTAATAGTGTGCAGCATTGCTGGAATGAATGGCTGCAACAGTTAACGAACCGCTTGACAATAACTGATAATGTGCGCGTAATGCTTCAGCAACACTCGGAGAGCGTGTGCGCAGTTACGAACAGAATATTGTCTTGTGTTGTTACTTATGTATATTAAAACAAGCTATAGAATCATGTCATATAAAAGTGGATAGAAAAGTAAGACACTGTAGGAGTATTCCCTCAGCTCTCAGCCCACGTCACCACGTAGAATACGTCGTACACATATGATGTCACCCCGTACTCGGCGATATGACTCTGGAAGCAATCCAGTGGCATGCAATCGTTCAGTGTAGCAACACCCACGTAACCCGCAATCATGCGAGTGGCAGCTCGTGGACCCTCGCCAGCTTCACAGTTTCGGCAGCGGTACACGGATATACCACTGTGCTCACAAACTCCGATCGAGGCCTGACATAGGAGGTGTACAGCGCCCTGAAATCGTCATATGAGAGTTTAGAAAAGGAACGGCGAATGGTTCCAAGGATTCCCAACTGAAAAAGCGGGCTTTGTGTGTCTGCTCCCTGGTGTTTAACGGCGTGGAAACCAGAGGTCTCGTTCGCATCCAGATGTCAGTAAAGTAGTGTCCATAAGAGGGCACACTCGGACTGGGTTGCTGGTCAATGGACATACAATGGCACTTTGTAAGATTGATCCTCGCGACCAGTGCATCAAAGAATCCAGGTCTATCTGTAGGATGTTACCGTCACTTTCTGACTGCATAGGTCTCTAGATCTTCAGATCAACAGACATTCCGATTCCAAGCAGTCCGGCAGGTCATTGATGAAAAGCAGAAACAGTATTGGCCCCAGTACCGATCCTTGCGGAACGCCACTAGAAACCGTCAACCATGATGATCGTGCCCTTGACGCTTTCACCGAGAATAGTCTGTCCCTCAGAAAGTCCTCAGTACAGGAGAGCAGCGGGTCCTGGATGTTCATCGACCTCAATTGCACCAGTAAGTTCGAATGAGACACCTTGTCGAACGCTTCGCTAAAATCCACGAACACAACGTTCGTCCCACTGATCAAGCTTCAAAGCTGGACTAGTGTAGTGATTAGAGATCGGTTGAGAAGTGAACACTGCTACCTGGTCAGCATGCGCCACGAAGATGAGATGGACCAGAGGGATCTACAGAGAAGGACGGACTTGAAAAGGTAAAAATTATGAGTGACAAAACTTCTTGAGCTTTTTGACTCAAGAAGGGTACTACGTATAACGAGAGATTTGTGATGAGGCTACAGGTTCAGTTGTGGATAGGTGGCATTACTTTTATCAGGTATTCACCGAGTGGAGTCGGTTCCACTTCTCGAGGCGTGAGACTCAGTAAGTGAGCTGTGTGTGCGTGTGAAGAAATAGAAAGAAAATGTGGATGCTATGTGGAGTTCAATGGTCTAGGCCGCTTTCAAAATCTATGAATGCGTTATGTTGGTTGCGCAGTTCGATGATTTTGGTTACATTAAGAAGTTTGTGGATCAGATNGATCAGATATTTTTAATCTGTTGCTAGATATCATCTGCCTCATTTCGACTGGAAGTTTATTCCATGGGCTGGAATAGATTTCTAAGAAGAATTTTCTCCTGGCAGTGGTTCTGTCGTTTGCTGTATGAAGAACGTTAATATGATTTCGAATGGGATGTGGCGGAGTTATTTTGAACCGGATTTCTTCAATGGGTTGGCCTTCCCCATACACAAAACTGTGCAGCAGACAAATAATAATTTTAATACAACGTAATTATAAGGGTTCGAGCTTTAAAATGAGATATCTTTTCATATAGTCTAACTCAGTGAACCAGCCAAGGATTTGTTTGGTAAATCTTCGCTGGATATTCCCGATGGCTACTCTATCTAGCTTCCTC